AAATGTGCAGTTTTGTCACACAACACAATGCCACAGATGTCTCAAGTTTTGAAGAAGCATGCAATTGGCATGCTGACTGCAGGAATGTCCACCAGAGTTTCTGCACAAACTGTCAGAAACCGTCTTAGGGAAGCTCATCTGTGTGCTCATCGTCCTCACCAGGGTCTTGACCTGACTGCAGTTCGACGTCTTAACCGACTTCAGTGGGCAAAATGCTCACCTTCGATGGCCACTGGTACGCTGGAGAAGTGTGCTCTTCACGGATTAATCCTGGATTCAACTGTACTGGGCAGATGGCAGACAGCGTGTATGGTGTTGTGTGGGCGAGTGGTTTGCTGATGTCAATGTTGTGAACCTAGTGCCCCATGGTGGCAATGGGGTTATGGTATGGGCAGGCATAAGCTCCGGACAATGAACACAATTGCATTTTATCGGTGGCAATTTGAATGCACAGAGATACCGTGATGATATCCTGAGGCCCATTAATCCACCACCATCACCTCATGTTTCAGCAGGGTAATGCACAGCCCCATGTCACAAGGATCTGTACACAATTCATGGAAGCTGAAAATGTCCCAGTTCTTTCATGGCCTGCATACTAACCAGACATGTCTTCCATTGAGCATGTTTGGGATGCTCTGAATATCCAGCAATTTCGCACAGCCATTGAGGAGTAGTGGACAACATTCCACAGGCCACAATGAACAGCCTGATCAACTCTATGTGTTGAGGAATGCATGAGGAAAATGGTGGTCACACCAGATACTGACTGGTTTTCTGATCCATGCATATCTGTATTCCCAGTCATGTGAAATCCATAGATTAGGGCCTCATTTATTTATTTCAATTGACTGATTTCCTTATATGAACTGTAACTCAGTAAAATATTTAAAATTGTTGCATGTTGCGTTTATATTTTTGTTCAGGGTGTAGTTTGCAGTGCTTCCCTAAGGTGCCATGGGTGAACAGTGTCAGCCCCAGTGGCTGCAACGTGGCCTGTCGGAAGAATGTGCATCTGAACATCAGTGATTTAAGTCTGGAAAACCACCAGGGTAAATGAATCATTCGTGATTCTATCCCACACAATCCATCAGTGGCCAGGAGAGTTTAGGGCTTTGGTGGCCAAATCACAAGTAATACAACTTGCAGACAGCCTGGGTGGGTCTCAGGGGCAAGGGTTGGACAGAATGATTAAGGGGAAGATGTAGCCACCCTTTGCTGTGTGGATGGAGCCTGTGAGGAGGGGGACATCTGACATAATGGAGTTGGATGATTCTGGATATCTATGTAGTCCAGAGTGGTCCTCTGTAGCTCCGCTGACAGAGCATGGTGCTTGCAACGACAGGATAGTTGGTTCCATTTCCCCCTGACCATTCATACTTAAAATGTAGGCATGCATGACTGTAAGTCACATTGGATAAAAGTGTCTGTCTCAATGGCACTTATTATTATTATTATTATTATTATTAGTAGTAGTAGTAGTAGTAGTAGTAGTAGTAGCAGTAGTATTAGTACTAGAAGCAGTAGCAGTAGTAGTAGTAGTATCCGTACCAGTAGTAGTAGTAGTAGTAGCAGTAGCAGCAGTAATAGTAGCAGTAGCAGTAGCAGCCATAGAAGTAGCAGCAGTAATATTATCAGTAGTAGTAGTAGTAGCAGCAGTAGTAGAAGTAGTAGTAGTAGTAGTAGCAGTAGCAGTATTAGTAGTAGTAGTAGTAGAAACAGCAGTAGTAGTAGAAGTAGTAGCAGCAGCAGCAGTAGTAGTAATAGTAGTAATAGCAGCAGTAATTGTAGTAGTAGCAGTAGTAGTAGCAGTATAAGTAGTATTAGTAACAGTAGTAGTAGCAGTATAGCAGTAGTAGTAGTAGCAGTAGTAGTAGCAATAGCAGTAGAAGTAGTAGTAGCAGTATAAGTAGTATTAGTAACAGTAGTAATAGTAGCAGTAGAAGTAGCAGTAGCAGTGGTAGTGGTAGTAGTAGCAGTAGCAGTAGTAGTATACGTAGTAGTAGTACTAGTACCAGTAGTAGTAGTAGTAGTAATAGCAGTAGTAGTAGCAGTATAAGTAGTATTAGTAACAGTAGTAGTAGCAGTAGTAGCAGTAGTAGCAGTAGTAGTAGTAGTAGTAGCAGTAGTAGTAATAGTAGCAGTAGCAGTAGTAGTAGCAGTATAAGTAGTATTAGTAACAGTAGTAGTAGTAGTAGTAGTAGTAGTACCAGTAGTAGTAGTAGCAGTAGTAGTAGTAGTAGCAGCAGTAGTAGTAGTAGCAGTAGCAGTGTTAGCAGTAGCAGTAGTAGTATAAGTAGTAGTAGTAGTAATAGCAGTAGTAGTAGCAGTATAAGTAGTATTAGTAACAGTAGTAGTAGCAGTAGCAGTAGTAGTAGCAGTAGCAGTAGTAGTAGCAGTATAAGTAGTATTAGTAACAGTAGTAGTAGTAGCAGTAGAAGTAGCATTGGTAGTGGTAGTAGCGTAGTAGAGTAGTATAGTAGTAGTAGTATAGCAGTAAGTATAGTAGTACAGTAGTTAGTAGTAAGAGTAGTATGAGTAGTGTACATTAGTAACAGTAGTATCAGTAGCAGTAGTAGTTAGCAGTAGTAGTAGAGTAGTACAGTAGTAGTAGCAGTATAGTAGTATTAGTAACAGTAGTAGTAGTAGCAGTAGTAAGTAGATTAGTAGTAGTAGAAGTAGTAGTAGTAGTAGCAGAGTAGTAGGTAGGTAGTAGTAAGTAAGTAGTAGTAGAGTAGTAGTAGTACCAGTAGTAGTAGAGTATAGCAGTATAGTAGTAAGTAGTAGTAGTAGCAGATCAGTAAGTACATAGTAGTAGTAGTGCGAGTATTAGCAAGCAGAAGTAGTAGAAAGTAGCAGTGGTTAGTAGTAGAATAGCAAAGTAAGAGTAGTAGCAAGTAGTAGTAGTAGTTAAAGTATAGTGTAGTAGTATAGTAGTAGTAGTAGCAGTAGTAGTAATATAGTAGTTAGTAGCAGTATAGTTTATAGTAGTAAGCAGTATAGTAATAGTAGAGTAGTACAGCAGTGGTAGTGTAGTAAGTATAGTAGCAGTAGCAGTAGTAGTTATAAGTAAGTATAGTAGTAGTACCAAGTAGTAGTAGTAGTAGTAAAGCTAGTAGAGTAAGTAGTAGTGATAGCAGTAGTAGTTAAGTAGTAGTAGTAGTAGCATAGTACAGTAGTACAGTAGCTAGTAGTAGTAGTAGTATAGCAGTAGTAGTAGTAGGCAGTAGCAAGTAGTAGTAGTAGTAGTAGAAGTAGCAGTGGTAGTAGTAAGTAGCAGTAGAGTAGTAGTAAAGTAGCCTAGTAGAGTGAAGCAAGTTATAGCATAGTAGTAGTAAGTTAGTAGAAAGTAAGCATGTAGTGTAGTAGTAGTAGCTAGTTAGTAGTAGGAGTAGCAGTATAGTAGTAGTAGTAGTAGTAGTAGTAGATAAGCAGTATAGTTTAACTTAGTTAAGAGTATGTACTAGTAGTAGTAGTAGTAGTAGCAGTAATAGTAGTAGCATAAGTTAGCAGTAGCAGTAGTAGTAAGTAGATAGTAAGCAGTGGTAGCAGTAGATGTAGTAGTAGTAGTAGTGAGTAGTAGTCATGTATATAGTAGTAGTAGTAGTAGTAGAAAAGCAGTAGTATAGTAGTAGACAGTTAGACGTAGAATAGTAGTAGTAGTATGTAGTAGTAGTAGATAGTATATGCAGTATGAAGTATTTAAGTATACAGTAGTATGAATACAGCATATACTGTAGAAGTAACATAGTTAGCAGCAGCAGCAGTAGTGTAGTATAGTATAGCAGCAGTAATAGTAGTAGAGCAGTAGTAGTATAGCGTAGTAGTAATAGTAAATAGTATCAGTATTAGTTAGTAGTAGTACATATAGAATATATACAGTAATTGTAGTTTAGCATATAATGTATAGTAATACAGTAGCATTCGTAGTTCAGTATAGTTAATAGTACTAGTACAGAGTATATCAGTAATAGTATGTAACAGTCAGTATATACAGAGAAGAGAGTGTAGTGATAGCGTAGTTATACAATAGTGTAGCAAGTAGTGCATATAGCATGGTATGTATGTACATATTTTATGCACATAGCATGTAGTATAGTAGTAGTAGTATAGTTATGTGTTATAGCAATTGCAATAGTATACATGTTTGCATCATAGATATTTAGAATAGAGAGTAATCATTAGTGGTAGATACATTAGTATATACAGTATGTTACAGTAATATATAGCATATTATTACAGTTCGTGTAGTGTACATACAGTTATCAGCATATGTATAGACAACTTTAAGTAGTACTAAATTTACTTGAAAACAGAGGTAGCACATTAGTTAATCAATTCATTCTCATGGTCTATCGAAAACCCAATTTTGTAATCCAACACTGTACTGCGCTCAATTCAGCATTAAAGAAAACATATCCATTGCAATTGATCACTTAGTAGTACCAAGTACCTATTTTCCCTCAGATTAGAGATCCCCAAATAATTCGAAAACAAACCCAATTTTGATAAACTCCCATATCTACTTGGTGATAAACCACAGTGTGCCATCACAGCAGCAAGATGTGGACTGACCTGTTACCACAAGAAAAGGGCAACCAGTGAAAGAACAACACCATTGTAAATATAACCCATAGTTTATGTCTATTTATTTCCCATTTGTACGGTTAACTATTTGGCACATTTTACAACACTTGGTGTAGATATACATAATATGAACATTTGAAATGTCTTTATTCTTTTGGAACTTCTGAGTGTAATGTTTACTGTTAATATTTATTGTTTATTTCACTTTTGTTTACTATCTACTTCACTTGCTTTGGCAATGTTAACATACGTTTCCCATGCCAATAAAGCCATTCAATTTAAATTGAATTGAATTGAGAGAGAGAGAGAGAGAGCTTTGCGATCTGTTCGGGAGGGTTAGGGGCTGGTAGATCGTTTATCTAGAATCTCAAAGTCCGCCTCTATCCTGTGCGGTCTTTTTCATCGAACCTGCAATGGATGTGACGACTGGATTTACATTCTATATTATTTTACTGCAACTATTTCACGCGAATGGACTTTATATCTCCAATAGCATAGGTATGTGGGATTTGTGATATTATAGGGTACGTTTTATACAGTTGTGTGAAGCTTAACCTAGGCACCACCGTTGCGAATATGATCTGATCACGATTCGACTCTTGATGCATGTCAATTTCACAGAGGTTATTTCGTAGCCCAGACATTTCCAATACGCTTTTACAGAAACAGAAATATCCTGGAGTTGGTAAGGCATGGCAGTTTGTTTATAAACAATGCAGTGTCTCAGTAAGGTTTCCCTTTCTTTTGCATGACACAAACTTTTCCCACATTTATTTTGCATCCAAACACAGTTTACGTGCGCTCAAATTCAGCATGTAAAGAACATTCCAATGGCAGATTGATCACTATTGATTAGTCCTGAATTTCCAAATGTTTTGTTGAAGTTTTTACAGCAGTTAGGCTATTAGTTAGACTAACAACAACGACCTCTCCAAATAAGAACTTACGTTTTTGACTTGTAAAATAAATGATTGGAATTAAATTAAACTTGACGCTTCAATTTCATTTTATACTTAAAATTACGATCTCGATTATTTCAAGTTGACAGCTTTAATCATCACACTATCTTGACATATGTACTTCCCTGCGTAGTCTGAAGTCGACAAAGTGATGGATGCAGTTTTGCTGATAAATGCAGTCTTGCGTAGTCTTGCTGTAAACATAGAATTTGGAATGACTAATAGTCATTTAATAGGATATCTATGGCTGTGAACTTGGACGCGTTTGTTATGATTTACAAAGAATGATAGTCTGCCTACCTACATACCGTGTAAAGACGCATGCTCATCTGCGCGCCGTGAACCGGCGTGAACACTTTGGCAATTGGCACACCGAAGTTTAAAAAGATGTTTGATAGGCCTATTGTCCAGGTTTATTGTTGCCTGTGGTTTATTTGATATGGTGTGAGCTATATTCACGTGTGTGCTATATTCACAGATTCACATTGTATGATGTCATGTTTATCAAGTGAGACCCAGCATATTTATTTATTTACCCATGCTATTTAGATAGTAAAGCGTGTACGCGTGGGTGCGCGCGTGTGACTGTGTGCGTGTGTTTGTGCTCATCTGAGCTCCTATGCATGATTGTGTGTGTATTGATCTGTGTGTGTGTGTGTGTGTGTGTGTGTGTGTGTGTATTGATCAGTGTGTGTGTGTGTATTGATCAGTGTGTGACTGTCTCTCCCTGTGCACACAGAGTCTCTGCAGCATGTCCTGAGTGAGTATGGGGTGGTGAGGCCTGTGAACACTGACGCAGAGGGCCGTTTCCTCTCAGGTGCTGTCTCCGCACCTCAGCTTGACAGCCAGCAGCAGCAGGCCCACAGACGCTGGAGAAGAGAGGCTGCAGCTGCCTCAGACCCCAGCCATGTAGACCTGGAGGAAGGAGAGGGCACAGCCAGGCACAGGGAGACACTCTTCTACAATGTCACTGTGTTTGGCCGGGAGCTTCACCTGCACCTGCGCCTCAACTCCAGGCTGGTGGCCCCCGGAGCTAAGCTGGAGTGGCACGAGGAGGGCAGCCAGACCCGCTACGAACCTCTACGGGACAGCGACTGCTTTTATGTAGGAGAGGTCACCAATGTCAGGGACACGTCCGTCGCTATCAGCAACTGTGATGGCCTGGTAAGTGCTGCACCGTTGATAAATATATCCCTCATGTATAGTTATTACACTGCTAGTACGCCTGTAGAACGGATTAGGTAGCTTCAGTTGATAGACAGAGGGGGCAATGCCATAGTAATAAAGATGGCTAGACTTAGGTCATCCAAGAGGCAGGAGAGATTGGAAAGTGGAACCCCTGCTCTGGCACATTGTTATGGTTGTGTATCATTGCACAGAAGGACTGAGATTATTTTCGATGTAGGCAGATGTTTTTCATATGGTCTGCATCAAAATAGAGGATTGTAAAAAATAAAATAAATAAAGCAGTAATCTCAAAATAAAACAAACTTCTCCCTGCTTGGCATTACTGGTCGGTCTCCACCAGGCAGGGTGGCAGTATTCAGCATGCAGGTCATTGCTGGTCGGTCTCCACCAGGCAGGGTGGCAGTATTCAGCATGCAGGTCATTGCTGGTCGGTCTCCACCAGGCAGGGTGGCAGTATTCAGCATGCAGGTCATTGCTGGTCGGTCTCCTCCAGGCAGTGTGGCAGTATTCAGCATGCAGGTCTCTGTGCTGTTGAAGGTGGGAGGCCCAGGGGAGGTTTTAGTCCCTGGAGGTTAACGCTTCATATCTCAGGCAGCTGCTTCATCCCCATCCCCTCTCCCGCCCACCCTGCAGGAAATAAACCACATCTCCTTAATGATCACATGAAATAGGTTGGCCGAAATCCCCTCTGTTTAATTAAATATGCTCCTTAGAGACACACACACTATTACTCTCTCAAGGTAGGTTTCAGACAAGTCTGCGTTTAGAATTAGCGATAAAGAAACAATTTGTTAGAAAAAGACACCACTGTGATTTTCTCTCTTTACACCGTGTTGTTTCCCATGTCCCCTGGACAAATCACACTGCAGTGTTATGATCAGACCCTGGTTCAGATTACAGTGTCAGAAAACAACTGTCAAGAGAAAGACCGGTCTTCAAACATGGATAGTCTCATTGGCGAGTGTCTGTCCGTGAGTGATTTGAATTACTATTTTTTCTCTGTGAGGAGTGTTCCATTTCTCTGCTTGGAACACATAGCGCCAGAGCATGTCCAGACCCAGTACTGTACAGTGTTGTGACCAGACCGCTGTAGGTTTTCTATTTCAATCCCTCGGTCCACATAGGTTTGGTCTACATACTATAGCTAGGTTATACAGCATGTAGTGTGCTATTGTCATGCCCCCTCCTACCTTCTGATCATTAGTAGACAAAGCATATACAGTGGAGAGACACATGCGTCATATTTATGCAGTGTCGATACATGACCACATGACCACAAAAAAGGGTGAAACGATTTTTAGGATGAGTTGCACCTCCAAGCTTCACACTCACTAAGCTCCTCCTCCTCCAAGCTTCACACTCACTAAGCTCCTCCTCCTCCAAGCTTCACACTCACTAAGCTCCTCCTCCTCCAAGCTTCACACTCACTAAGCTCCTCCTCCTCCAAGCTTCACTTCACACTCACTAAGCTCCTCCTCCTGAAAGATAAATACTGTTGAATGATTGAATGCTTATGAGATTCTACTACCAAGCTGTAAGGCCTGGGTCATTGGTACTGCAGGCCATGCATGAGTATCAGCATTAGCAGACTGCATCAGAGCGAAGCCCGTCTACAGAAAGTGTCTCAGAGAAGGAAAGAGTGCTGATCTGGGATCAGGTCCCCCGTGTATTCATTATGATAAAAAATATAAAACTGATCCTAGATCAGCACTCCTACTCCGAGATGCTTTATGAATACGGTCCAGAGCAGGCTGCTGCACTGAGAAGGGCAGGGGCATGATGCTGGTACCGGACCCCTGCTAAGGGACAAATGAGTAAGGGATGCCCTACAAGCAGAGGCACAAGCTGTTGCCATTGCCATAGTGTCTGTAGGAGGAAGTGACATCCACCAAATGATTCTCAGAAAAAAAGTGATGTGTTGGTATGGCCTCTTAGGTTAGATTTAGTCTGAGTACCAGTCTCTTTAGCTATCATTCCACTCCTTGCCAGTCCTTGTCATTGCCAAAAAAGACTGATCTTTCGGCAATCTCAATGTTCAATATGCGCTGGATTTACGGCAGAGTTGCTCATTGGTTGTTGGTAATAACATTAATATTTTCCATGACATCATGTGGAGCTTCGAAATGAGAATTTATAACAAAGTCAGTTGTATTTTGAGGCATTTTGTGGTTGGAATTGCAGAGGCATTTTGTGGTTGGAATTGCAGTATGTATTTAGTTTGAGAATTTAGATGTGAGCATCTGAATAAACAAAAAACAGTTGCTTAGCAACCGGATACCAACGTGGTCTGTGTAGAAAAATGTGCATAATCGTTGTGATTGGAGGATAGCTGTGAGGGTGATCGAATCAGGATCAAATCCTCTGTTCTCCTCGAGCTCATTAATGATAGAATGTTAATATTTAAAGATGGCAGAAAGGATAGTCTCCTTGGCACATGACGTGGCGTACAGGGAGTGGATTAGCTAAAGAGACTGATACCCAGGCTAGGTTAGATTGGGTGGCCTGAGCAAATCTGTTGTGGCCTTGGCTACAGACCGTTGTCATGGAAACCACCCTCTTATGCAATTTGTCCTGAGGGGTCAGCCTGTCAGTTTAAAGTCTGTGTCTGTGTGATATCTCTCTATTATTGTCCCTCATCCCTTCTCTGTGTGATCTGTCCTGCATGACCTTGTTCCAGAGATGCATTGCATTGCTGAATTATAATTAAATATAACTTATATATAACTTTCTCTGTGTTATGATATCAGAGCAGTCAATCCTCTACTACGGGGGTTCTTAAACTTTTATAGCTCGAGACCCGAATGAGAAATTGACCATCCTACCGTGACCCAAATCGTCCTCCAATGACACAAATCACGACCCACCTCTCACATGCCCAGGGCCCACTTTGGGTGCCGACCCATAGTTTAAGAAAGCCTGCTGTACTACAAACAGTAAGAACAGCTGTTAGTCTTATCCAACTTGCAATCAAGCCACCAAAGAACCATAATCCCATACAGACCTCATGCTGCCCAAAAGTTCAGGAAGTTAATCAATTTTGCGCTGGGATGGTTTCTGTGTTGGTTGGAAATCCTTCAGCCTTTGCACGATATAGCCTATGTCAGCTGTGTATAACCTAGTAATGAAGATGCAACCTTTCTAAAGTCATCCCAGGGGTCTTTTCTCAACACAAGCGCTGGATGTCACTTATTTAGTTGGGTTCACTTTTGTGCTATAATCAAGTTGTTCATTTTGCTCCCCTGGCACGTATGTGGCTGGGGTGTTTGGAGCTGTGTCCTGACTTACACGACCTCTGAGCCTTCTCAAATCAATGTTGGACCAGGGCTCACTGTTTCAGCCATCTGTCGCCCCTCTCCCTGGTTTGGGCCAATAGGAGCCACTCTCTTTGTGGTGTTGAGCGGGCCGTGGAGCGGGGTGAAAGAGGAACACTTGTCAGGTAGGGCCATTCCAGAATCCCCTGGCTCCGGTCTCTATGGAGTAGCTGTGGCCTTTGATTATTCCATTGGAAGGACAAAGTGGGGAACCCACTGTGACTGCACCGGCACACTTCCTTTCCTCTCCGCAGGAGTTTAGATCCGTTTCTGTTTGAGTGTGGATGGAAACCTCAGTCCTAATTGTATCTGGCTGAAGGCCCAGTCCATCTGGCTGAAGGCCCAGTCCATCTGGCTGAAGGCCCAGTCCATCTGGCTGAAGGCCCAGTCCATCAGGCTGAAGGCCCAGTCCATCTGGCTGAAGGCCCAGTCCAGCAGGCTGCGTGTTACATTAACGTTTCAAAGTGACATATTGACGCTCTTGTCAGGATTTATAGTTGCGAGAACAGGCCCAGCTGGAGTGAAAAGAGGATCTTTGAACTGGAAGACTCTGCTGTAGAGAACAGGTCTACACACCTGAATACAGCTGACCTCCTTAGAGAACACAACTCTCTCATCACAAACATGGAAGCCAATAAATGTCTTGTCATGTTTGGTTTTTGTTTGCTTCTGTGTCAGCTTTCTTTCTGTGCCATGAGACTCAGTCCAATTACACAGATTAAATATATATATATATATATATATATATATATATATATATATATATATATATATATATATATATATAGCGTTTGGAAGAATTCCATGACTGACACCTTAGCATTTAGAGTTGTTTATGTATTTCATGGTGAGTAGGAGGAGTGTGACCTGGATAGAAAGATGTTACAAAGAAAAACGTTTAAAAGGAAAAGCGTCTCCGGGCGCTCATGGACAAAGGGTTGAGTGTGGCTCCATCCAAAATGCAATGTGAAAGGGATGGTTGGGAATGAAGAAGAGGAGATTGGGTCTTGATGGTTCCCTCCTGATCTGTCTGTAGTTACAGTAGGACATGTGATGTCAGCCACCTGGCTCGTCCAATCCCTGCAGGAGGTGCATTCTCCAAAATGAAAACAGCAGTGTGCCGTGGATGTTAATCAAGAGAATTCTGAAGGCAGTCAATACATGTCAGGTCTGACCCGATGATCCAGGACATTTTAACGTGTGTGTGTGTGTGTGTGTGTGTGTGCGTGTGCGTGTGTGCGTACGTTCGTGCGTGCGTGCAAGAGAGAGGGAGACAGCTTGTGTGCATTAGACCAGACTAGAGTATATTTCACTTGATATAGTTCTTGTTTTATTGGGCTTTTATGGTCGTGTGTTGATATGAATATTGATGTGGTTGTGTTGATTCCTGACACATGTTAGTAGGGCTCCGCTGCTGCTGAGTTTGAATGACAGCTTGTAATGAAGAGTGAAGGGAGGCAGCCCAGAAGGGGTTTCAGTTTCTACTCTCTCTGATGTCCTACATTCCTGTTGCCAGTGGTCAACAGAGAAATGAAGGAGATTACTGGGATGAACATCAAATCACAAGTGGCTTTGGCCTGCGCATCATAGCACCTTTGATTCTTGCCAGGCTTGAAAATGAACATGGTTGATGATATTTTATTTATTTGAAACTGACGATTTTGACTTGTTTATGTTAATTCTTGACTTTATACTGTATCCAACTCAGGATCAAAATGAAGTTTGCTCCAGGACTCATTAATCCTTGAATCTCAGAGATTTGGTGGCACAATCTGGGTGTCCATTTCACTTGCCACAATAACAACTGGCACAAAACACCTAATCTCAGATTTGATTGAATGTAATCGATTGATAATGTGTTAGATTATGTTGAAAAGGCTGAAAATTAACACAGTATCATGATTAAATTTAAGGTTGAAAGGAAGCTTGAGGAACTTTAGAAATCCCTTCTTTGGAGCAGTGTGAGTGAAGGTCATGTAAACCAACGACCTGTCCAATGGCAACTAACACTGAATACTGTGAGTCAACATGGCAAGTTTTTAAACACTTTTGGCCTTTTTGCAATGGAAACTATTGACACGGAACATGAGGTCATGCTGTTGTGCAACAGAAATATGTTTCTTAATCAAGTATTATGGATATGGCCCCGTTTAGTCTTCTTAATCTTCCCTTTCCAACACATAGTGTGTGGAGACGATGCCATTGGGAAACAACTCATCCACTTTATTTCCAGTTTAAACACAGTATTTTCTCCTTTCCATGGCCCTTCCACTGAAATATAAACCCAGCAGTGAAAATGGAGAGTTTATTACCCGGGGTTAGAGGGCTGGAGGTTTTACAATGGCTCTTTCATTCATATCAACTTGAAAAGATTACTATTGTCAACCCTGTGAAAGCTGTCATTACCTCAAAGAGCTGTACTTAGCTGCAGTATACATTATCTGTCATTTCACAAAGAGCTGTCCATTGTGAGAGCTAAGGTAGTGCTCACATGCTTCCACCCCCGTTCAGACAGACAGGCAGACAGACAGACAGACAGACATACATACAGACAGACAGACAGGCAGACAGACAGACAGGCAGGCAGGCAGACAGACAGACAGACAGACAGACAGACAGACAGACAGACAGACAGACAGACAGACAGACAGACAGACAGACAGACAGCAGACAGACAGACAGAACGCTGGCAACAAGGCAAAGTTGTCATGAGTGAGAGCTCTGCTCTGCCTGCCTCTCATTTGGAACATGTCATGCAGGCTTTGTGCTCCTCCTCCTCCTCCTCCTCCTCCTCCTCCCTACAGACATAACTACCTCTGGATTAATGTATTTTCCTGCCCCCTCACACACACACACACACACACACACACACACACACACACACACACACACACACACACACCACACGCCACACACACACTGAACACTGAAAAGTTAGGGTATGAACAGCAGGTCTCCCGGGGCGACCAGTCTCTTAACAAGACAGCAGGCAGGCCTGACTCTGAGCTGGAAACCGGGACGGAGCTGCTCAGGCCCTCTCTCTTAGGCTCTGCTCTCCCATTTCACTCTTGGCAGGCCAGGCCAGGCCAGGCAGGCTTCGGAGCCTCTCAGGCTTATGGAAGAGCCAGAGTTTTCAATGTGACAGTGAAGCTGGATCACATCTTCAATAAGATTCTGCACCAGCATGGTTTATGCTAACTTATCCATCATTGCTCCTGTAAAGATTTACAATTTTTATGCCATTTTACAGCTAAAGAGTCGTGTGGGTATAATACCACTAATCAGGTAGCATACCCACACAACCACTGATCCAACTGTGTTGACACTGTAGAATATTTCTGACAGTAAAGCTGGTAGTGAGAGCTAGTGATTTATTTGTGATTGTTAAGTGAAGTTGATCCCTCAAATGTTAGTTTACGATTTTCAATTGGCAAGAGAGGATTTGACATCTGGGAAAGTTATTTGTTGTTGAAGAGTTTGATTTTAGATTGAGGGTTTGGATGTCTATCACAGTGTAGCCAAATGGAAAAAGTTAGTCTGCAAAAACCCCAGTCTTGCACCATTGTTTAATATATTATATATAAAGTTGCTGCAGGAAAAGAAAGCCTTCCCTGTCACGTGGGAGAATGGAAATTCTTGCTTTCAAGACTGAGGTATGTGCATCTTTCCTCCAGCCCAGGGTACAATCTTTCCTATTAAGTCCTTTATTCCCGAGCATGACTCTAATCAGCTGTTCGAGTTCCTGAGGTGAGGTGACTGAGCAACTGCTTTTCTGAGTGGAGGATGTGTACTTAGCCATGCTGCGTGGTAAGGCAGGTTAAGTTTGACTTCACAGTGGCTCAGAAAGCTGGCTGACCGAGGTGTAACTGCTGGTATCAATTTATGCAGAGTCCGGTCCTTTCCTTGGTAATTATACCTCGGGAGGATGTGACAGCTCCTTGTGTAATATTTCCCAGGAGGCTGTTAAATGGCAGCCTCAGCAGCCCGTCTCTAGCTCAGTGGTTCGGGGTCAGAGAGAGGAGCAGTATTGAGCTGACCCTGAACAGACCTGACTGTTCCAGTCTCAGTGTGTTTTAAAGTTTACATTCGCATCCCTCCTCTTCCTCGTTCCCCGTTCTCCAGGTCAGACACAGGATAGGGGGCCACCTGGTTTGGGCTGTCACGCCACATTTTGGCTGTCTGCATTTATGAAAGCATTAGTACCGCTGTTTTGGCTGACCTAAATTGTTGATCAGTTGGTTGATCTAAATTGGCCCCATAGTGATCAACTCATGTCTCTTTGCAGTCTCATGTCATTTGTACTTCTCAATGTTGTCCTCTCTTCTGGCCGAGCTTCAAAGTGGTGGAGATATTGATTATTGTGCATTTCCCTTATCAATTAAGTTATTCTCAAAGTGTTATTTAAAGTTGTTGTTTTTTCCAGTTAGACGCTTGTGATTGTAGAGTCCAACCCCCTTCTCATCTCATCTCTCTCAGGCAGGAATGATCCGCACGGGGCGGGAGGAGTTCTTCATCGAACCCCTGGAGCACCGAGTGGGTGGGGCGAGGGAGGAGGAGGGCGGAGACGGACGACATCACATCGTTTATCGCTCCTCTGCCATTAAGAGACCCCCTGTCAGTCAAACAGTGGACTCTTACCGCCGAGGTAAGAGGAACTTCAGATACACCTCTACAGAACCTGCATGCTTTTTTCTGACTATCAGGAGACATGATGATAGGTCATAGGTCATAGGTCGCCTTCACAGGTCGTCATCATCTGTAACTTTAAATCAAATCAAATCAAACCAAATTTATTGGTCACATACACATGTTTAGCAGATGTTATTGCGGGTAATAGCGAAATGCTTGTGTTTCTAAATTTAACTCCGACAGTGCAGTATTATCTAACAAGTAACATCTAACAATTTCACAACATATACCCAATACACACAAATCTAAGTAAAGCAATGGAATTAAGAATATATACATAAATATATGGACGAGCAATGTCAGGGGGGAATAGACTAAGATACAGTAGAATAGTATAAAATACAGTATATACAGTTGAAGTCGGAAGTTTACATACACTTAGGTTGGAGTCATTAAAACTCGTTTTTCAACCACTCCACAAATTTCTTGTTAACAAACTATAGTTTTGGCAAGTCGGTTAGGACATCTACTTTATGCATGACACAAGTAATTTTTCCAACAATTGTTTACAGACAGATTATTTCACTTATAATTCACTGTATCACAATTCCAGTGGGTCAGAAGGTTACATACACTAAGTTGACTGTGCCTTTAAACAGCTTGGAAAATTCCAGAAAATGATATGATGGCTTTAGAAGCTTCTGATAGGCTAATTGACATTGTTTGAGGCAATTGGAGGTGTACCTGTGGATCTTTGCTTGACATCATGGGAAAATCAAAAGAAATCAGCCAAGAACTCTCCTAGAGTTGAACGTACTTTGGTGCGAAAAGTGCAAATCAATCCCAGAACAACAGCAAAGGACCTTGTGAAGATGCTGGAGGAAACATGTACAAAATTATCTATATCCACAGTAAAACGAGTCCTATATCAACATAACCTGAAAGGCCGCTCAGCAAGGAAGAAGCCACTGCTCCAAAACCGCCATAAAAAAGCCAGACTACGGTTTGCAACTGCATATGGGGACAAAGATAGTACTTTTTGGAGTAATGTCCTCTGGTCTGATGAAACAAAAATTGAACTGTTTGGCCATAATGACCATTGTTATGTTTGGTGGAAAAAGGGGGTGCTTGCAAGCCGAAGAACACCATCCCAACCGTGAAGCACGGGGGTGGCAGCATCATGCTGTGGGGGTGCTTTGCTGCAGGAGGGACTGGTGCACTTCACAAAACAGATGGCATCATGAGGAAGGAAAATTATGTGGATATATTGAAGCAACATCTCAAGACATCAGTCAGGAAGTTAAAGCTTGGTCACAAATGGGTCTTCCAAATGGACAATGACACCAAGCATACTTCCAAAGTTGTGGCAAAATGGCTTAAGGACAACAAAGTCAAGGTATTGGAGTGGCCATCACAAAGCCCTGACCTCAATCCTATAGAAAATGTGTGGGCAGAACTGAAAAAGTGTGTGCGAGCAAGGATGCCTACAAACCTGACTTAGTTACACCAGCTCTGTCAGGAGGAAGGGTCAAATATCACCCAACTTATTGTGGGAAGCTTGTGGAAGGCTACCCGAAACGTTTGACCCAAGTTAAACAATTTAAAGGCAATGCTACCAAATACTAATTGAGTGTATGTAAACTTCTGACCCACGGGGAATGTGATGAAAGAAATAAAAGCTGAAATAAATCATCCTCTTTACTATTATTCTGACATTTCACATTCTTAAAATAAAGTGATGATCCTAACAGACCTAAGACAGGGAATTTTTACTAGGATTAAATGTCAGGAATTGTGAAAAACTGAGTTTATATGTATTTGGCTAAGGTGTATGTAAACTTCTGACTTCAACTGTACATATGAGATGAGTAATGCAAGATATGTAAACATTATTAAACTGACTAGTGTTCCATTTATTAAAGTGGCCAGTGATTTCAAGTCTATGTAACGCCAGGTTTGTGGGTTCGTTTCCCACGGGGGGCCAGTATAAAAAAAAATATATAATAATAATAATGTATGCACTCACTAACTGTAAGTCGCTCTGGATAAGAGCGTCTGGTAAATGACTAAAATGTAAAAAAAAAAAAGATATGGTACATAGGGCAGCAGTCTCTAAGGTGCAGGGTTACATAACCGGGTGGAAGCCTCCTAGTGATGGCTATTTAACAGTCTGATGGACTTGGATAGAAGTTGTTTTTCAGTCTCTCGGTCCCAGCTTTGACGCACCTGTACTGACCTCACCTTCTGGATGATAGCGGGGTGAACAGGCAGTGGATCGAGGGGTTGTTGTCCTTGATGATCTTTTTGGCCATCCTGTGACATCGGGTGCTGTAGGTGTCCTGGAGGGCTGGTAGTTTGCCCCCGGTGATGCGTTGGGCAGACCGCACCACCCTCTGGAGAGCCCTGCAGTTGCGAGCGGTGCAGTTGCCGTACCAAGCGGTGATACAGCCAGACAGGATGCTCTCAATTGTGCATCTGTAAAAGTTTGTGAGGGTTTTTGGTGCCAAGCAACATTTCTTCAGCTTCCTGAGTGCTGAATGCTGATAAGCCTTATGTGGGTCTCTTCTAGACATTCAATTTGTGTCCCTCTTGGAATATCTATTGAACTGGCAGTGAATTCTGCATTATTGTGCATAGAGAAAACAAATGTATCCCTCTCCATGCCCTCCAAGTTCTCCTGGTCTAGCCTGATGAACAAAATGAATGCTATCCAGAGAAAGCATTTAAATTTAACATTAGTTTTTTCTGATTTTAAGTGTTGCCTGATTCTAAAATGCAATATTTAGTTCACTGTATACATAAGCTGTCATGATATTTGATACACACGTAAATACACTCTCTGGCATGTCTCTACAGAGCAAATCAGACTGGAGGATAGTTCAACGCCCATGTAGGACAAAGCAAAGGCTGCTAAACTCGAATTAACCAAATGTTCCACTTTTTTTTTCTTAAATGGATCTCTACAGTATGCAGTCATTAGACTTATAATAAAGGATTCTCACTGGATGGGAAAGTACAGTATGGTGGAATGTTTGTTTCTCTCTAGTTCATGGTCTAATCATCAAACTATTTACCCCCCCCCCCCCCCCGCCATGACTCCCATTTCACCCTGTCCATTTCCTCCTCAGGGGTCAGAGTTCACCCAAACTCCCCTCACTGAGCAGATAGAAGATACAGTAATCTGCGTGGGTGGATAAAGACGTGATAAAGTTATAAAAGGGATTCACATGTCACTTCAGTTCCAACCACGGAGCTCAGCCTGAGGATATTGGGAGGCTAGACTTGTTTCTCAGTCACTTCAAATTTGTAGGTTTTTTTTGGAGTAGTTCTAGTCTACTCTAAAAGACTATACTATACGAAAGACATATGTATTCCGGGCATTCTGCCAAGTTGGATTGTTATACACAAATTCTCATAAGACAAATGCACACATGCACACATGCTCTCACACAATTTATATGTACTTAAAGAACACGTATACACACACTTACACACATCATTTTATGAACTTCTAATGGGGAAACTGGAGACAGGAGAAACACCCGCATGATGGACTTTGGCATCAGCTGTGTGGATTGGATCGGAGGCTCAGATTTAGTCGCACAAATCCATCAGAGGCGCGTCGGTCGCAGCCAAGACGAGCTGCAGCCAGCCAACTCCTACGTGGCAGGGCTGAGTGCTGATGGGATATTAGCCTACAGTAAACTATATTCCTCCAGTGGAGGAGAGCATGGCTGATCTAGAGCAGAATCTGGATGGGCCTAGTAAAGAGAACAAAAGGACATTGAGTAAACAATAAACATTAAGATTGTTTCTAATAAAAATAAATGGAAAAGTGTTATATTTTGCAACATAACTATTTTGTTAAATCCTTGTTTATTTAGTTAGTTAAATCCTTGTTGAACAGGGTGATCTATGTTGTGATCTATTTAATAAACACAAGGGACCTGCAAAATGGATAAAAGAGTGTGTCGGTATAGCAGGAACAGCAGCATCTAGTGGTCAAACCTGGTACTTTCACACTACTTATGGTAAATAATGTAAGCGACTTCAATGACAAATTTCTCTGAACAGGGGGAAAAAATTATCAACACATTCACAGGGAATACATTACATAGTATGGTGAAGCAATACTCCAAGCCACAGCTTCATACTACTTGTCAAACATAGAGAACTGATACTGTACACTGGTTTTTGGGGTGGGATTGGCATGGGGTGTATTTTGGTATTTTATTAGGATCCCCTTCAGCTGTTGCGAAAGCAGCAGCTACTCTTCCTGGGGTCCACACAAAACATGAAACATTACATAATACAGAACATTAATAGACAAGAACAGCTCAAGGACAGAAATACATAAATATGTATTTATGTGGGTGGCTTTAGAATTGTCTTTAAGGATTCCTCATGTCTTACTCATTGGTAGGAAGAAGTTTGGTCCAAATTGGATTTTGGTTATTAAATTAAATTTCAACAAGATAATGTTTCAGGAATGTCAATCTTACCTGTTTCTAACTACAGAAACAATTTCAGAATAATCTAAGATGGTGGGTGTCATGGCTCGCAGAAATTACATGGAACTGTCATTACTTCTACTGAAGTATTTGTGTCTGTTTCACCACTACACATGTTTTTCATTGAAAGTCATCTCCGTTTGTCCTTTGACTAATGGCTGTTGGACGGTGATATTTTTTTTGACAGCCGCTTCTATAGATGCTCCAGACGTCCCTGCTTCACTCTGTACAAAGTCCTTGTCAACGCGTGCTGTAGGTGCAGTGGCGGAATCAAACGCAGGACGCAGACGGATAATCCAACAGACTTGTATTAATGCCAAAACACGGCAAACGGACAACACTTGCCCGAAGGCGAAATACGCACGAAGGCGAAAATGAAACAACAGCGCACAAAACAGGTGCGTAATAACTCCAGCGCAGTGGAGAGAAGCTCAACCGAGCGAAATACACGTCTGACAAAAATCAATAACACACAACACCTGACAAACACAACGAGAACTAAATAGGACACTAATGACACTAAATGAAAACAGGTGTGACAACAATCAGACAAAAGCAAACGAACATGAAACATACAACGGTGGCAGCTAGTATTCCGGAGACAACGAACGCCGAAGCCTGCCCGAACAAGGGAGAGAGGCAGCCTCGGCCGAAACCGTGACAGTACCCCCCCCTTGACGCGCGGCTCCAGACGTGCGCCGACTCCGGCCTCGGGGACGACCCGGAGGACGCGGAGCAGGGTGCGTCGGGTGCCCACGATGGAATTCCGTCAGGAGAGACGGGTCCAAAATGTCTCTCCTCGGCACCCAGCACCGCTCCTCCGGACCGTACCCCTCCCACTCCACTAGATACTGGAGACCCCCCATCCGACGTCTCGAATCCAAGATGGACCTCACGGAGTACGCCGGTGCCCCCTCGATGTCCAATGGGGGCGGAGGAGTCTCCCTGATCTCACTTTCTTGGAGTGGGCCAGCTACCACCGGCCTGAGAAGGGACACATGGAACGAGGGGTTAATACTTTTATATTCAACAGGTAGCTGTAATTTATAACACACCTCGTTCAACCTTCCCAGGACTTTAAATGGCCCTACAAACCGCCGACCCAGTTTCCGACAGGGCAGGCGGAGGGGCAGGTTTCTGGTAGAGAGCCAGACTCGATCACCAGGTGCGTACACCGGTCCCTCACTGCGGTGGAGATCGGCGCTCGCCTTATGACGTCGGAGGGCCCGCTGCAGGTGGACGTGTGCAGCGTTCCATGTCTCCTCCGAGCGCCTCGCCCACTCATCCACCGCAGGAGCCTCGATCTGGCTCTGCTGCCAGGGTGCCAGAACCGGCTGGTAACCTAACACACATTGGAAAGGGGTTAGGTTAGTGGAGGAATGGCGTAGGGAATTCTGGGCCATTTCGGCCCAGGGAACGTACCTTGCCCACTCCTCCGGCCGGTCCTGGCAGTATGTTCTAAGAAACCTGCCCACATCCTGGTTTACACGTTCCACCTGCCCATTACTCTCCGGGTGGTAACCCGAGGTGAGGCTCACCGAGACCCCCAACCGCTCCATAAAGGCCCTCCAGACTCTGGAGGTAAATTGGGGACCCCGATCAGACACAATATCCTCGGGTACCCCGTAGTGCCGGAACACATGGGTGAATAGGGCTTCGGCAGTTTGCAGGGCGGTAGGAAGGCCCGGCATGGGGAGCAAACGACAGGCCTTAGAAAACCGGTCCACAACGACCAGTATAGTGGTATTCCCCTGTGAAGGAGGAAGGTCAGTAAGGAAATCCACCGAGAGGTGGGACCATGGTCGTTGTGGCACGGGCAGGGGTAGTAACTTACCCCTAGGCAGATGTCTAGGCGCCTTACACTGGGCGCACACCGAGCAGGAGGAAACATAAACCCTCACATCCCTTGCCAACGTGGGCCACCAGTACTTGGCACTAAGACAGTGCACTGTCCGGCCGATACCCGGATGTCCAGAGGAGGGTGACGTGTGAGCCCAATAGATCAATCGATCCCGAACCTCGAGCGGAACGTACTTCCGACCCTCCGGGCACTGTGGTGGACTAGGGTCGGTGCGTAACGCCCGCTCGAGTTCAGCATCGACCTCCCACACTACCGGTGCCACCAGACACGACTCCGGCAGTATGGGAGTGGGCTCCACGGACCTCTCCTCCGTGTCATACCGCCGAGACAGCGCATCTGCCTTACCGTTCTGTGACCCAGGGATGTACGTGATCTTAAAAGTAAACCTGGTCAAGAACATATTCCATCTTGCCTGGCGAGGGTTCAGCCTCCTCGCTGCCCGGATGTACTCCAGGTTACGGTGGTCCGTCAAAATGAGGAAAGGGTGTTGAGCCCCCTCAAGCCAGTGCCTCCACACCTTTAGGGCCTGTACCACGGCTAACAGCTCCCTGTCCCCTACGTCATAGTTCCGCTCCGCCGGACTGAGCTTCTTAGAATAAAAAGCACAGGGGCGGAGTTTAGGTGGCGCGCCAGACCGTTGTGAAAGCACGGCTCCTAGACCGGCCTCTGACGCGTCCACCTCTACCTGGAACGGCAAAGAGGGATCCGGATGCGCCAGCACCGGGGCCGAGGTAAACAGGTCCTTCAGCCTCCCAAACGCCCTGTCCGCCTCGGCCGACCACTGCAGACGCACCGGACCCCCCTTCAAAAGAGACGTGATGGGAGCTGCCACCTGTCCAAAACCCCGGATAAACCTCCGGTAGTAATTCGCAAACCCCAAAAACTGCTGCACCTCCTTCACAGTGGTTGGTGTTTGCCAATTACGCACGGCCGACACCCGGTCTACCTCCATCTTCACCCCTGACGCAGACAACTGATACCCCAAAAAGGAGACCGACTCCTGGAAAAACAGACACTTCTCTGCCTTCACATACAGGTCGTGCTCCACCAGCCTCCGCAACACTCTACGCACCAGGGCCACATGCTCGACACGGGTAGGCGAGTACACGAGAATGTCATCTATGTACACAACCACCCCCTGCCCCTGCATGTCCCTGAAGATCTCATCCACGAATGATTGGAAAACTGACGGAGCGTTCATCAACCCGTATGGCATGACCAGATACTCGTAATGGCCCGAGGTGGTACTAAAGGCTGTCTTCCATTCATCGCCCTCCCTGATGCGCACCAAGTTGTACGCGCTCCTGAGATCTAATTTAGTGAAGAAACGCGCCCCATGCAACGACTCAGTCATGGTCGCAATCAGCGGGAGTGGATAACTGTACTTCACCGTAATCTGATTGAGACCACGGTAATCGATGCACGGGCGCAAACCACCATCCTTCTTCTTCACAAAAAAGAAACTCGAGGACGCAGGGGAAGTGGAAGGCCGTATGTATCCTTGTCTCAGAGATTCGTCTATGTAAGTCTCCATAGCTTTCTTCTCCTCTTGAGACAGAGGATACACATGGCTCCGTGGGAGCGCAGCTCCTGCCTGGAGGTCTATCGCACAATCTCCCTGCCTATGGGGCGGCAACTGCGTCGCCCTCGACTTACTAAACGCAATAGCCAAATCCCCATACTCAGGGGGAACGTGCAACGCGGGCACCTGGTTTGGACTCTCCACCGAGGTAGCCCCTACGGAAACGCCTAAACATCTACCCACACACTGGGCAGACCACTCCATCAGAGCCCTCTCCTGCCACGAAATGGATGGGTTATGGGTACTCAACCAGGGCATGCCCAGCACCACCGGATACGCAGGAGAGTCAATCAGAAATAGCTGAATCATCTCCTGATGACCCCCCTGCGCACACATCCTAAGTGGCGCAGTGACCTCCCTGATCAAGCCCGCACCCAACGGACGGCTATCTAGGGCATGAACGGGGAAAGGAACATCAACAGGAAGAAGGGGAATCCCTAAAGCTAAACAAAACTTCTTATCAATAAAATTCCCAGCCGCGCCTGAATCTACCAGCGCCTTATGCTGGGAATGAGGTGCTACCTGTGGAAAACGCACAGGCATACAAAAATGTGCAACAGAGAGCTCTGGGTGAGTGGGGCGCCTACTCACCTGGAGGGAATCCCCAGTGCGGGACCTGTCGTCCTCTCCCCTAGGAGGCCATCCCCAGCACCTAGCCGCGGTGTGTCCTCCCCGACCACAGTTGGTGCAGGGGATGGACCCCCTAGTAAGCCGACCCCTCCTCTCTCTAGCGCCAGCGCCCCCGAGCTCCATGGGGCACGGCTCGGAAGCGCTGGAGGGTGAA